TTTTTTGTGGTTTTGCATGAAAAAGACCAACGAAATCCCCAGGCTACATTTCCCACATAGTAGAATAACGGTTAACGTAAGCTCATTCATATCTATCTCAGAAGACACTCTTAAGGTCATCACATCCATCTTCACTTGATTATATGGTTCCGGACGACTTTTTGTATTGTTGACAAACACCTACACAAATGTTGTTTATACCTTTTGAATATTATTACTATTTACAATGTTACCCTACATTTCTGAAGCAGAAACAACGCCCCAAAGACTTTTTGTGATCGTTGAACATAATTTTTTTACATCTGCTAAAAGTAAAAACATCATAGTTCAATTGCCCAAACAACAATGACTACAAATCCGATAAAAAACAATGAGTAAATTTCGAAATTTTTTTATGGAACCCTACCCTGGTAGGCCTGAGTTCCCAAGAACTCCTAGAAGTTACTCGATACTTAACTGAGACTTTATACAACAAAAGAACAGTTGGTCTCCAAATTTTCAGCAAAAAGTAGCAGCAATTTTCTGAAAATCTCGAAATCTTAAGGTTCGTTCGGTAATTATAACATTCAAACTAGTAATCAATGCAACTATTTGACCGGTAATTTTTTCCTTTAAAGAGTGATAATGCGGATTCTCCAAAGGAGGTTTTTCGAATGATAGTCGAGGAAAGGTTTCACATGAAGGCATGCAATTTCCCCCAAAAAGTGCTTCCTTACTTCTTTTCCCAGATTCATGCAGTTTCTGTTTTCTTTTGGTTTGATTTTTGATGCGAAGATGTACTTTCATGGCTTGAGTTGTTTTGATGTGGCCAGATTATACAAAGCAGATAAAATAAAGCGGTTCAAATCCTCACCCAGAGACTACTACTATGAAATCCATGATGTTCCATCCGGATCTCAAATATGATCCTTTATGAGCAATAAAACCAAAAGCAACGATCTTCAGCACACATTCTAAGCAGAAAATACCCATGAAGTATGGCTCGGTACGCTCCTGAAACAATAAACGTGAATTCGTCGGTTTCGAGTCCCTTTGTACCATCAATGGTACTTCGATATAATAATGGATACTGACAAATGATGGCTTACTTGTAATATTCTTAGTTTAGGCGGAAAAAGACGCAATTACTAAGCCCGCGCCCTGGGAAGTTAGCCCAAAACGCATCCCAGACCCTCCTAAATGCATCCTTCAACCACCTCATCCTAAAATACATGATCTATGTTACTATATCCACTTGAGTTTTGCCTCCCCAATGTGGATGGGTTCGTTGCTCCCGGAAATTAGCGAGATTCTCACGGTTGTCTCTGAAATAAGAATACGAAGGGATTTTGTTTCTGCGAAAACCTTGCTTCAGCAAGACCACCTGAATGCCAACTTGATTGGGCGAAAGCCAGTAGGCAAAAACTTTCTGAATAATCCCATTTGAAGTGAACTCGAGCACGCAATCTGTGCTTTTTTCATAAATTCCTCGCTTTGTGTAAAAAATGTAGGTATATGTGGGAAAAGGGCAAAGCACGAAAATTTTGCCGGATGTCGATCTAGTTTGCGATGCGCCATGCACCTCGCTCCATTCGAAAATTTTCACCCTGTAGAGCGGTTGGTGGAGGCCAGCTGATAGGTAAGCTATTGTTCTCGAACTTCCAGATAAAAGTAGCACCAGCTCACCCCAGCTGAGAGGTTACCCTGTTGGAACCGAAGAGTAACGAAACTCGACGGGAAGCAAACTGGCAAGTTAGCCGCTCTACTTGATTCTGATAAATTACCATAAACAGCCTACGCAGCTGGTTCCGGGATTTTCTTCATACCAAACACCAATAAAAGAAATCAGATTACCGAGGAATTCCTGTTACTTTGCAAAGCAACTGTTGTATGACCCCGATACGGATTCAAATACTACTGAATTATAATGGGCACTTCGATTCACGGCGTAACCCAATGGTTCACTTATCGTCAACCGATCTAACTCTTAAGATGTTGCCTTCATTTATGTGTAGCCAAGTTTTTTTTCAATAAAACCCGTCCGAATCTTACCAAAAGCTCGGAAAGCGGCTTTTTGTCGTTTTTTGGAAGATGTTGTTCCATGGCGAGCACGACACAGTTTCCTGCAAAAAGCCACATTGTCAAGCATTCAGAAACGAATGCATTCACAACGAACTGCTCCTTAACACCCCCTAGTTCCGTCCGTCGCCCCGCTTTTTATAGGCGGCGTTCTCACCACAGTCGCTTTGTCCAACAAAAACATACTAGTTCAGAGTAAAAAGTTAGAAACGAAACAAAAAATTCCAATTGTTCACCTATAATAGTAAGCAGGATGAAGTACTCGAAGGGGCCCCATTCTATGATCGCCTTGGCGTTTCGTCGGATGAAGTTATCCTCAGAAAAGATGAACAATGACGATGGCCCCTGAAAGTGTTTTTTCACATTCCATTCTAAATCTCCCGTTTCAATCCACTCTGTGTGTGCTGAGAAAAGACTCTTCCGTCATTGTCATCCACAACGTCTTCGTTAAATAAATATATAGTGAAAAGAAAAGAATTCTTTAGAATTCCAAAAATCAATATCCATTATTTTCAAAGAGACCGTCGTCGTTAAGGTGCCGAAGCAAAGAGGTCTATTGTCCTCTGGCGGCGCTCTCCAGCTCAATTCAATGCCAAAGAACATCAAGACTTTGACGAGGCCGAAATATATAGCCCAGCCCAGCAGTGAGGGCTGGTTGGCATTCAGAATAGGATATTTCTTAGCGCGAGAGTTAGGAAGAATAGTCCGAAAAATTCTCACGATGAAATTTAGTAAATATGTAAACGCAATTTCAAATTCAAACCATTTTCAATGAAGCGGAACGAACAAGCAGGTGGCTTTGAATTCCTGTTAAATGGCACAGCACACTAAGGACATGACATTGGTAACTAGTACGTGGATAAGTGAAAATTACGAAAGTAGGCTTATGAAGCTTACTTGATGAAACTTCAAAAATGATCACCTCGACTTGTATAAAAAAATTTAAAAATACGAGTAGCACAAAGTCAAATTCGAGAGTAAACGAGGAGAAATTAGTCCTTGACAGTGTTCTTTCAATGAACTCTGAGAACATTCAACCGAATGAGTGCAATTAAAGTTTTATTCGATGAGAATTCTCAGGAAAAAACAGACACTAAGCAGATATGGAAATTTCATGAGGAAATAAAAGAATTTCTTCGTAAACGAAAACATCATGGAAGCTTTGTTAGAGTAACGAATATGAAAAAGGAATAAATCAAGAGATCAAATTTTAGGCTCATAGACGATTTATAAAAATAATTAAGTGAATGGGAAAAAACTGTTGAAGAAACGGACCTTTTCTTTTACTGGAGCATTAGAAGCGAGAGTGGACTTTCGAACGGCAAACGGTCCCGATTCGGTCTTCTGTTCTCGTCGTGCCTCTTCCGCTGCCAATCTGAATTTGTACCGTTCACTATATTTTCAATCTGAAGTACATATCACTCTCACTTTCCATTCATTACTCTCTAACCTTCACTCACTATTTTTAACAAAGTAATAACTAGTAATGCGGAAAGAGACCTTGCGATCTGGTCGATGCCTAACATTATCGCTGCTTGTGCAGACGACGGTATTCGATCGCGTGACTAGGGATCCGGTGCGATACACGGATGATCGTCGTCCATTTGATGAAACAACAACAACGGCACAAAGAATCGGAATAAAAGTTGAAGCAGATTGCCCGGGCTATGTGAGGCAAGGATTACTTCTATGCTGAGGACCCCGATCGATAGTGAGGCAGCGCGGCCACAGCGCCCAGGCCCCCAGAAATGGAAATGGATATACATACACGCCCCAGGAGTAGCAGCATTTCGAAAACGACGACGGGACGGGGGGATGTGAGGAGGAGCAGGAGCAGAAGAGACGGTTGAACGAATATCCATAAAACAAAGCTGAAAATTATGCACATCCATGCACAGCCGACAACTTGCCCTCAACCCACAATCAGCATATTGTTCCCCGTTACAGTATGACAACACCTCCCGTATGTCATTTATTCAAAACATGACCGGCAAGGAAGTACGGTAACTACAAAGTTTCAAGAGTAAAGAACTGAGATTTATAAGCATCTAAGATCAAAAGTAATTCCTTAACCAAAGTCCAGATCAAAATTCGGTATCAGAAAAAACTGAAAGTTGCCGGCAAAGACAAAGAAAAAAGAAAAAACGTTAAAATAAGAAACCTTTGGAGAACTAACCCAAAGAATTGATTAAAGTGAGGATGGAACCTTGAAAAAGTTTGTAATTCGATACAAAACAGCCTCGCCGATATTTTGTGAAAATTCTTTTTCAGCAACGAGTTGAACCAACAAATATCTATCATTTTTAAATTTCTAATAAAATTCGGATGTACTCTTTGATAATAGCTGGTAATGAATAATTGCGCTCATGTACTTTTTTAAATTGGACTTTTTCGATTGGGATAACCAGTATTCAAAAATTCGTACGAATATTTAGATCAATGAGAATCAAAGAACACTGCTTCCCATTGCGAGCAATGTTTGCAACACAATACCTCCCACTTTTTTCTGCAGGAAGTATTTTTCAATGAATGAAATTTTCATAACTGACTCATAGCCTTGTAAATATGTTTAAAAAAAGGTGGAGTCAAAATGGAAAATAATGTTTGTAAAAGCGGCACTAGTAGAACCTGAGGAAAAATTATTTGCAAAAAAATTGATTTCTTAGAAAAGAAAAAAACGTTTCAAAGACATCGAGGCATTGTAGAATGAATAGAGATTTTTCACATTTTTGCAGAGCTTCTATTGCCGTAATGCACGAGCAGGACAATATTGGGTGTAAATCATTTACTTTGATCTCTTCCTATGTACCAGTTGGAGGATGTCAAAATGAAACCATACGGGATCCGTGAGTGAGGACACCTTTTTTTT